TGTCTGCTCTGGAGCTGGACAAGCGTCATTTCCAGCTCAGGTGGACATACCCACTAGCTCTGATGGAACTAGCATGCTAAAAAATAGCAGCGTATTGCACCATAGGGTGACCAGCTGTGGTTGCACCATAGGGTGACCAGCTAGCAAGTGTGAAAAATCAGGAAACTTTTTTTTTTGGAGGAGGGGTAATAGTTGCATATATAAGATAAAGCCCCTGGTCACCCTACTGAATTTCTAGTGCACTTGCTTGACCAGACTTCGCATGGGTGTGTCTACCCCAGCTAGAAATTACACCTCCAGCTCCGGTGTAGACATACCGTAGGAATGACACTCACAATGGTGACACTCCAAAATTCTACCAACAAAAAAAAATGAAAACTATTAATATTTTTAACAATTATTAAAATTAATATTTTACAAAGAAAATCGGAACCCCCTCCTCCAAGCAGAGTTGTGAGCCCATAAAGAGAGAAGCGCCGGAGATTCCACAGCCCACTAGGGACTTGACTGTGTCTATTGATTCCGACACTGCAGTGATGGGCAACGGTATAAAACCCTAAGATACAGAAAATGTCTCTCTGTTGCCTCTCCATCTTGGCTGGGGCCTTTGAGGGGGTAGGTGGGAGTTCCTATGAGCTAGAGTTCCTATGAGCACCTGTGTCACGCTTGAGAGGGGACTCTAGTTTTTAGTGAGATTCATCCCGCTGCCCTTCTTGAAAAATAATTAATAGATGGGGATAACTACTTAGAAAAAGGAGAGAGTCTAACTCTAAAAGCAGGGACAGATGTGATCTTTGCAAACTCCACCATTACACTTGTGAATGCTTAACCCACACACCTCCTGGGCAGGGTGCTCCGTCCCCTCTAGTGGCACCGAGACAACTTAGAGATTAATAAGGCTGCTACAGCCTTAGCTAAGGGCCAAGTGGCTTTTGGCTCATGCATTTAGCTCCAGAGGTCCCAGGTTCGATCCTGCCCACCATGTTACAAATGCATCTCAATCTGAACCTAAGAGCTGCAACACCCCCTGCTGCTATTCCAGGCCTGCCCCACCCTGCTCTGACTGTGATCCTCACTTTTTACCTGCAGCATCATGGCTGGACTCGTCCAGCCCCCGTTTCCCACCTCTCTGCTAATGGGCCTGAATCCTGACCCTGCTATCTAATAAGCTTCATGTGAGCAGAGCCTTACCAACGTCCCCCTGGGTCATTACATTGTGAGGTGGACATGGGTGACGAATGCCTGCTGAGGACTAGGTTGAGACCCCCAGACTCGTCTCGTGGGTGTCCTAAGAACAAGCTGAGTCTGCATTTTCAAGTTAGAAAGATGGCTATGTTAAAGCACTCACACCACTTGTGCGTCTACTTATGTGCCTATTTTTGAAAACCTAAGCAGACAGTCTGGACTTCCTTCCCGCTTCCCATCCATATTTTTTTCTCTTTATGAAATGTTGCCAGGCCGACATAAGGAATACATCAGACACTTGCCATTTTCGAAACTGACTTCACAACAGCCAAGGGCACTGTTGGGAAAAGGGAAGTCAACAAGACAAAACAGGCAAGTATATTTGAGATACTGGTTGAGTCATATAAATGCCCTGGGGCCGAATTCTCCATCACATTGTGCCTCTTAGGGTGAAAGATGTTACCACACCAGCGTGAGTGAAGCTTTCTGATTTGGAAGCAGGTTGCATCCGCTTGATGTCGGCTTTAAAGAAGTGTACATGATGACAAGCGAAGGGGAGTGGAAAAATCAAGCCCTGTAGGTTTATATGACCGTGCTTGTTTTTCTTAGACATAAAGGGTCGCCCACTGTTTAAGCCTGTGTTACACCCCAGAAGGAAATCCTACATACAGCACAAACTGGGGGATGTTAACTCATTTTCCCAACGGTCACTCATTCGCAGGGGTTCTTACAACAAAGCGAAGACAGGAGCAAAGATTTGCTGGAAATGATGCAAGAGTTTCAGGATGTCGTGGGAACGGGAATTGCCAGACTGGATCAGACCAATGGCCCATCTAGTCCTGTATCCTGTCTCTGACAATGCCCTGTACCAGCTGCTTCAGAGAAAGGTGCACAAAACCCCCCAGTGGCATTTATGGAATAATCTCCCTATAGGGAAACTTTCTTCCTGACACCCATTAGTCAGGGGTCAGCTTACAACCTGAAGCATGAGAATTTATCATTCTTAGGTTGTGTGTGTGTTTCCCCTTTCTCTTCTCCGTCTTCAGACTGATCAAAATGTGGATTGAACACTACACTGGGACTCAGAAGACCTGAGTTCTAGTCACAGCTCTGCCGCTGGCCTGGTGGGTGATCTTAGGCAAGTCATCTTGCCGCTCTGTGCCTCAGTTTCCCCCTCTGTAAACTGAGGCGAATGATAATGACCTCCTTTGTAAAGCTGTTTGGGGGTCTACTGGTGATAAGAGCTAGGGTTTTATTATTATTTATTATGCCTCTGCCCTCATGAACAACCACTACAGATTTCCATGTTAAAAAAATCCAGTGATCCAAGGCCCCCTCCCCATCTCTCTCTGAGATCCTGAAGAGTTGAAAAACCAAAGGGTCAAATCCATCCCTCCACTGGAGTTACCCCGGGATTAATTTGGTCCCAAGAAAGCAGCAATTTCCAATCTCTCACTGGCCTGCTTTCTTTGCTAGAAAGGAGAAAGAAACCCAAACCACCCACCCTCCATAGTCAGTATCTATTGGCCCCTTGAACACAAGAACCACTTGACCCTTTTGCATAAACTCTCATTAGCCCCTGGGACATACAGTGCATGGTGGGGGGTGGGGAGGGGGTAAGGGGGTGGTACCTCTCAGGCCAGAGCTCACCTGTTGATTGGCTGAAGGACGCTCTGCCAGTGAGTGAAGCATGCTTATCGGGAGGCTGTACATCCAGATGCCAACAGCACCCTGACAGCAAGGCCAGCCTGTGAACTGAAGCTAAGATAAATGAAGTATCACTCATCCCCACCAATGTGGCCCAGACAGAAACCAGGTGCGGGCCTTCTGTAAACAATCTTCTGTCTCAGCTGAAAGAGCTTTAGGCTGAGATGCTGGATTAAGGGAACTATTGTCGCGCCGGCCGGGAAGTTAAAGGGTAGCGGTGATAATGCACTGATGGCAAAAGGTGCTTCAGGGAAGGGAGCCATTACTCAACAGTGGTTCATTTGACCTGGCAGGAGAACATGCGATATCTAAACAGTCCCGCTCATTCTGACGCACTCAGAAACCTCTGCAGCTAAATATTTGATGCCCTTGCATGATAATGTTTATTTTCCTTTCTCCCCACCTGTGCAAGGCTCGTAGGCTGTGAGTGGGGAGAACGGTGGAGGTGACACAGACCGTACATAAAGGACTGAAGCAGAACCTTTTAAAATGTATATTGTGAGACAAATAAAAACTGGCAGGGCCAAGGTGTGGAGAAGATGCTGTAAGGATGGGTCCTGCACTGGCCCCAGGGAGATGTGTGGTTGCATCCAGCCTAGGTCTTTCCTTCCTCTGAATTCTGTGGGCCTTGTTCTCATCTCCGTTAAACCAGCGTTAACCATGACCCATGCAAATGACATCAGTGAAGTTCCACCAGTGTGAGATCAGAATCCAACCCCTGTAGGGCTGAGTCTCAGTTACTCCATTCTTGCACTTGGTGAGTTTAAGCTAGCTTCGATCACCCCATATTTGGGGGCTGTCCAACATCCCCTGCCTGGCTCCCAGGGGAAGTTAGAGCAGTTCCATGCGCCATGTAGGTGTTATAGGTCATCATCTCAATGGGCCAGGTCCTCAGCTGGTGTCAATCAGTGCATCTCCAATTAAATCAAGCTATGCTTCATTTGCACCAGCTGAGAGTCTGACCCAAGGTGGCCAGCACGCTGAATATACAGTTGCCGCCTGTCTATGCTTGCCACCTTCCTGTTCTTGAGAGGCATGAGATGGGATCTGCTTACACCTAGTGGGAGCAGATCTTTGGAGCCCTGTGCTCTGTAATCCTAACTTCAGAGGGTGCCATTATCTGCCATAGACGGGCATGACCAATACCAGGCTAAAATCCCACCAACTTCTACTAAATGTTCATATCAAAACCACCTTGACTTTGCAAACTTGCCTTTTTTAATTGACGTAATCAAATAATTGTTCATATCAAGCCATTTCCCACCCGTGGGAGCTTAGATGGAAAGTGTCATTTAGACAGAGTTCTCGCTGGAAGATCCAGCCTTTGCTATTTGGTACCTGATTCTAGTGTGAACTTATTCCCAGCTTTTTTGGTTTTCATTTACATTTAACAAACCGGGACGTCCTCTCTTCCCTTTAGAAACTGGTTTATCTAGACTGATCTATTCCCCTTCCCTGTGGAAACGGACAGTGTGAACTAAAAAGCTAGCTAAGAAGTGACATCGTCTAGTGGTTATTTCTGGGAGCCAGGACTCCTGTGTTCTCTTTCTCATTCTGCCACTGACTCGCTGTGTGGCAAAGGGCAAGTCACTTTCCCAGCTGTTTGCCTCAGTTTCCCCATCTGTAGCATGTGTAATAAAGTCTCTACTTCACAGAGCTGTTGTGCTGGTTAATTAATGTTTGCAAAAGTCTTTGAAATCTTAGGATGGAAGGTGTTGCAGGGAGCCAAATCGCATCTAGAGGTAGGACTCCCCAGTCCTACCACTATCACCTTCTAACAAAAGCTCTTGCTCGGAGATAAACCATTTTTATCAGTTTGACTATTATAAGCACACTGTTGCTTGTGAAAGTTCAGGTGAAATCGGTATGGAAGCTGGAAAGGATGGGGACTATAAATATGTTTAAAATGTTATCTGTTCTTTCTCAAACATGTCTTTCCAGCCTCAGGTATTTGCACTCTGATAACCTTTTGGTCCCAGTGGTGGTAGAGACTTCATGCCTTGTATTTCCAAACTGATAAGAAATTGAAAGATGGTGAGACTCCTAGGAACATTATGAAACACACCCTCCCTGCCTTTCTTTGGGCTATTGCACATCTTAAAGCATTGCATTTCTGGGACATATTGTACAGGATGCTTCTTTACCGCCATGATCGCGAGACAGAGGACATATCTATGAGAAGGAAGTGATGGAAAAGGTGAAAAATGCACTGTTCTTGTTATCCAAGGTATTTGCCTCTGTTCTCCCCTGATCCTTTTATCTTCAGCCCCTGCTGATTCCTTACTATCTCTGGATCAAGGAGAATTTTTATCTCCCTGGGAGCCTCTGCATGTGATTATTAATTATTATTAATTAAATTCCTCTTTGCAGTAATATTAAGAGACTCTTACAGGAACCTCTATCCATTCCGCCTGTTAGGATTTACCAGACAAAGCGCATATCTGGGATGTTTAAAAATAAACTCCTGTTGGAATGTTTTTTTCATTACGTATTAGCATTGCCATAAAACAGAAGGAAAGAGGCCAAAAATCAGATACTGCGGGATACGGGATGTCTCAGAGAACTGGATAGCATGATAGGAAGAAGACTTTCATTGCTAGGTTACCTGCTTGAATCCAGCTGGTGGTGACTGAAAGTTAACTTTTTCTTATGGTTGTTTGATGGCCTATATGAAATGAGCGTGGTAGGTCTCCGGACAGTTACTAGGGTTGTGTATCTGTGTCCCAAAAACTGGCAGTATGTGGCAGAAAGGCCAATGATCAAATGAACCATTGATGCTCCCACTCCTAGAAATCAGGAACTGAAGGCACATTGTAGGGCAGGGTGGGAAAAGTGTTCACTGCCACTCCCTGTTTTTATGAATAAACAGAGCAGCTCATTCTCCAGGCCTGGCACCTTTCCGAAACCCTCCAGTCACTCAATGAAAAAGAGGAAAGCTATTCAGAGATATACTGCTCTGAATCTACAGGCAAGGTCCCCGTTGACTTCAGCTCTATGCCGCTGACCTCTGAAAAAAGTATTAAGTTCACATATTTGAGTGGCTGACACAGATCCAGTCTCACGACTTGAATCTTAAACTCCTGTTTACAAGGCTGTGCAGAAAGCCAAAATCTAGGCTGTTGTGATGACGAAGTGAAACTGACACTGCTTAGGTGTTCAGCTACTGTGGTAATAGGGAAGAGGGAGTATAAGCCCAGTTAAGTAGATAGGTAGATACTTTGCACCTAACAAATGAGTTTGCTTAGTGACAAATTCCTCTGTTCTCTGCTGCTTTGAATATTTCTCACAGTGGTGAGCGGATGACCATGAAAGGCAGTTAATACAGTATATTTCATTTGGAACATGAACATACTAGGGGCATAGAGACAGTTAACCAAGCCAGATGAGGTTCTAACCATACCCTTCATGGCTGGGATTGTGCTATTAATTTATGTCAGTTGCTGATGACAGAAACTCACAGACCAGTAAATACAATTCACTCGATGTATTTCATATGGGACTGGACAATACTTAACACAGCAGGTGGACAGCTCTTGCCAAAGCCCAAGTATCAGAGTATTAAATTAACAAGATCTGATGAGAAGCACCTGAGGAATATTAATCAGTCACAAACATGGTTCTTTCCATCGCTAGATCTCAAGATGCCAAAGGAGGGTAAATATTATCCTCACCATTTTACAGGTGGGAAAGCAGAGACAAATTATGGGGCTTATTCACTGGAAGAGAACATAAGAACAGCCACACCGAGTCAGACCAATGGTCCATCTAGCCCAGTATCCTGTCTTCCGATAGCAGACAGTGCCAGGTGTTTCAGTGGGAACGAAGAAAACAGGGCAATGGTTGGGTGAGCCATGCCCTGTCATCCAGTCCCAGGTTCTGGCAGAAATAGAACCCAGATCTCCCAACACTGAATTCTCAGAGCTAAAGGCTTGATAATATTCGTCAGCTGCAAAGGGAAATGTTGGGAAATAGACCAAGATTGGTGAAGGAAGTAGCCAAGGGCTCATTTAAACTGTCTCTCCAACCCTTTCAATTAGGGTCTGATCCAACTCCCCCAGAAGGCAACAAGAAGACTCTGTTGTTGTTATTTATATTACAGTAGCAGCTAGAGACACTAACCAAGATCAAAGCCCCATTACGCTGGGTGTTATACACGCACATGGTAAGAGACAGTCCCTGCCCCCAAAGAGCTTACAGTCTAATATATACAACCGAGACAGGGTAAACAGAGGGGAAAGTGACTTAATCAAGGTCACATAGGTCAGTACCTCAGCTGAAAGTAGAATCAAGGTCTTTTGAGTTCCAATCCAGTGCACTAGCCACCTAGCCACACTGCCTCTCTCTATGGGGATTTGAACTGGGTCCTTAATCTAGTTGGAAACTCAGGCAAAATAGGTTATTAAGCCAACAAGGGAAGGCAATTTGAGACATGTTCCCTCTTCCCCCATTCCCTTCTTCTTGTCGTTGTTTTGTCTTGTTTGGGGTTTTTTTCTGGGTTATTTCCTTGTTCAAAATTTATGACCAACTCTGTAACTCCGGGAGGTGTGGGGATCTGGCTGTTTTGGAAGTAGATTTCTTATCCACATTAGATTGGGGTCTGCCCACAGAGGGGGAGATTTCTCTAAAATCACTGGAAATAAACAAGTGCTGACCTTTTTATACAAAACTTTTTAAACAAACTAAACCAACAAGCCTGACTCCTCACTTGGTAGCCAACCAGGTTACCAGCCAGATGGCCACTGGAGCATCATGTCTCTCTGCATAGTTCTGATCATGTCTCCCCTGTGCCCATGATTCACCTGAATCTTTCTTGTCAATCTGGAAGTACAAAGAAAGCTTTGCTGCTTTTAGTTGTTTCTCAGACCACTAGGAACCTGCCGGACTGGATCAGACCTATGGTCCATCTTGTCCAGTATCCTGTCTATGACAGTGACCAGAACCAGAAGCTTCAGTGGAAGGTGAAAGGAGCCATACAATGGGCAGATGTGGCATACTCTGTTATTCCATGAAGATCTTGTCATAGTTAGAGATTGGCTTAAACCCTGACATAAGGGTTTATCTCCCTTCAAATACGTGCTTAAAAAAAAAACTTTTATAACTGGAAACTCTTGTTTTCCATACCAACATATGATCACTCTGTGAATCTTGCTAAGCTCTTGGTCTCAATGACTTCCTGTGGCAGTGAGTTCCCCAGTCTACACATTGGGGGGGGGGAGTATTTCCTCTTATCAGTTTAATTACCAACGTCTCCCTATTGCCTAGTGCTCCCCTCCCACCTGGAATGCTGAAACCACCTGTTGCCTCTTATCATATACTCAGACACGGAGCCTGAAAAGACTTACCCATGTGCTTAACTTTTGCTTCTTAAACCAATGGGAATACACACAGATCTAAGGTTGTCCTTTGTTTGGGGGCAAGGGGTGTCCTTTTGGGCTAGTCTTTACTGCAACAGTTAAGGCTAGTGCATCAAACTAGCCTGGAGTAAGTACCCAGCCTGTAACATTAGCCTGGTTTGAGGGAGAGCAGTTACACACCCCTCCAGCTAATTGGATTTGCAGCTGATGAGTTGTGCTAACTGGGGCAGTTAGGGGCCAGCTATCTGGAGTTTGAAGTACACCTCTACCTCGATATAACAGGACCCGATATAACACGAATTTGGATATAACGCAGTAAAGCAGTGCTTGGGGTGGGCTGGGCTGGGCTGAGCACTCCAGTGGATCAACGCAAGTTCGATATAACACGGTTTCACCTATAATGCGGTAAGATTTTTTGGCTCCCGAGGACAATGTTATATCGAGGTAGAGGTGTACCACCTAACCTGGGCTAGAGATTTTTCCTGTGTGGACAGGAATGGGGTTATGGGTAACACTGGAGTTCTGCCTCAAGCTAACCCAATAGTGAGGACATGCCCCTTGCTATAGGTGCCTAGCAGGGTGAGGCCCTGGTTTTTGGAGCTTCTAGTCTATACATATGCTAAAAAGTAATGCCTGTGCAAAGGGGGTAGATAGCCTTGCCTTACCCTTTGTCTGGCTTCTTCCCCTTATCTGTCATCTTTGGAGGGAAACTGTATTTTTGCGCCAAACATTTGTTTTCTGGATGGAGAAACAGAGCCCAAGACTAGACTGCAAATGTGCCTAGGGGAGTGTCCTCATTGGAACGAGCAAAGAAGACCAGTGTGAACTCTCTGGATTTGTAGTGTACCCTTCCCCTACCAGGCTCCTTTATCCTTGAAGCCAACCGAGCTCTACAATCAAGTCTTGCACCGTAGCTCGCTGCTTCATAAAATCGCGATAAATCATACGCGAGGCATATTCAAATAATTTGTTTCACTGGGGACTGATTTACAGCCCAGCTCTTCATTCATCAAAGCCGGGCTTTCATTTGCGGGCATAGTCCTATCCACCGCAGGGAAGCCTCGCCCAATCCATAAATTAAAAAATATTAATAATAAAAGAAATAATAAAATAGAAAGGGGGTGTGGTGGTCCGGGGAAAGCCTTCGCTAAAGAAAATGGACAAAAGGAACTCAGAAAATTATTCTAATAAATGTCTCTTCCTTCACAAGTTCACCCCCCCCTCCCAAAACTAACGCTGAAAGACAAATGGCCCAACGACTTTTGATCTTTTATTACGAAATAACTCATGGCCATTTTTAATAGATAAAAATAACATCATCTTCCCAGTCAAATCGCATAAAATAATAAATTAAAGGGGAAAGTGACGGGGGGGAAAATTTGACTGAAAAAAAAAAACCATCCATTTCAGTGGTGAGAAGATTTTTTTTCAAGATATAAGCCACGTAATTCTCTTTCCTTTTTAAAAATAAAAAGGACTGAAAATTGGGCATATAATTTAATGCCAATTACATTCAAGAATGAGTTATTTACAGCTGGTTGGACAAACCACGTTCACCTGTCACTTAAAAAGGTCAGTTCAAGCCTGGAAACAGAAGAGGAATGTGAGCAGTTTGAAGACACAAAAATCACGTGTTGAGAACATATTGTGTAGAATTAAAATTCTTCGCAACAGCGGAGTCAGAGTAAATAGCCACTCTGTGACACCGTATTATGGGATTCAAATATCCAACTTTCTTCACCAGGACTTAAAAGTTGGATTTTTAGACTAATCTGTTCAGAAGCAAAATGATTACATTTAATAAACCGACACATTTTCATATGAAAAAAGGATGCAATTCGTGTGTTTGTCACTGAGTTATTATTATTATTTA